GGATGAACAGGATTGCGGATTTAACGGCAGAGACACCATCGACGATTTGAAACCATAGCGCTAAAGTCTAGATCAGTATTTATCTTTACTATCCCAGCTATTTTTGGAACTCACGTATGTAGAAAACATTGACCTGAGACGGTGATAGTATCCTAGTCAGCCAGATGCAATGTGAAGCCTGTGTTGGAATTACATACAAAGAACACACCTCCAAGACAGAGGCCAAACCAGATCGCTGCACTTATGCTTTGCCTACGTAGTAAACGTAAAGGAATGATGGCGCTCTCTTCCCTCCAGTATTCGACCCCTACAAAAGAACAAAATAGGACACCAGCAACCGCTAACAGGGCTATGATGCGGGCATTATCCCATGAATAGGTGGTCCCACCCCATGAGAATGCTAAGAGAAGACAAATCGTTGCTGACACAAAGGTGAGAGTACCAGCCAAGTCGAAGCGCGCGATCTGGCTGCGAAAACCGGTCGACTCGAATTGTCTCTTGCTGCCCCGGCTACTGTCATAGAAAAAGGCGATGAAGATCATGACAGCGCCCCCGATTGGGAGATTGATATAGAAACACCAACGCCATGTAGTTGAATCTGAGAAGGCTCCTCCCTGTTCCAGTAGTCAGTCACTGCAACAAATCTTATAGATAGAGAGTATGTAATCACCAGTAGGGGTCCAGCTACGCTCCCAACTGCAAAAATGCTACCAATGACGCTGTTCCATGTCGGTCGCCGACATAGCGGAACACACTCTGCGAGAATGAGTGTAGTTCCTGCTTGTATTCCAGCAGACCCCAGACCTGCTAATGCCCGTCCAAGAATGAAAACATGAGAATTTGGTGCAGTAGCACATACAACACTCCCGATCTCGAATATTAGCAACGCTGCCAGGAAGACGAGTTTGTTGGAGAAGAGTGTATAGATCTTGCCATAGGAAGGTTGGAATGCGCAGGACATCAATGGGTAGATCCTGTTCAAGGATCCGTTAATATTTGCGAAAATTTTCACATCGGAATGGACGGATGATGGAAAACTTACGCTGCATACCAACCCACATCGTCAATGCTGTGGAAGTCATGGGTAATTCGAGGGACAGCGGTCGAAATTATCGTATTGTCCACTGCTACGCATAAAGTCGCCAAGCACAGCACGATTGAGATCAAGACCACACTTGAGAACTTGATATACTTGCTCGTATCCTCCGTTTCTTGAGCTTCTCCGTGTGTCGCTAACTCACTCACATCGGCTACTGCGATTTTGTTCTCGGTAGAAGGATTTGGAGACATTCTGGTTGGTAATCTACAATAATTGAATGAGAGTTTACAGTAGTAGACTCAAGAGTGGGTTAAAAATAAATCTTGGAATGAGAAGGAAATGCTCTCAGTAGCATCTCACTGTTGACAGTACAACGTATTATAGGAATTGAATGTAGCGAGATGACACTCTGTCTGGCCTGAGGCTAAGAAATGTTGGATGCCGCTTTTTCAATAGCGATTTATACTGTAAAACTTCAATTCTAGCATCGACGCATTAGAGAAATGGACCCCAGTCCGATTCTTAATGCCCCAACCCCTAAACAGAGGAAACAAACTACTCGCGATGACCGCCTTCACATTCAAACTTTACATCGCTACGCAGGCTTTACAGTTAACTAGACTCTCTTTCAATTACCTCATATAACACATTGTCGAGTCGAATATATGCTCTCCTACCCTACTATACCTAAGTAGAAGGTCTGCGAATGAAAACCATTCTTAAAGATTCCTTGTCAAATGCTTTTTAACTAGTTAAGCATGTGCATCATTAGTTAATAGGTGAGTGTCGTGGGATGAGATACCTAAAGTGTTTATTTAAGGCTATAAAATTGAGGTTATCCGGGCAGCCTTTAGAAAGGAGGGATTTATATGACGAAACACATAAAAGAGTCCTCTTCTTTCTAAGAACTGTATTATTTGCCTTGATTTTGCCAAAAATTTAAATGGACTAATAGGTAGTGGTGGAAACATTCGATGGAGTGGTGGGACGTGGGTGTCAAAAGCCCGAATATCAGGGTATAATATGGCTACAAGCAAGGTAACTTAATTAATATTCAACTAGTAACCCTTAATGTAATTAAAAAAACTAGTTAATGCCCCCCTTCAAGTTATCCCTTCCAGCTATTCCTATACCCGCGCGGAGTACAATGGACCTCTGTTAGCGACATGGCAGTAGCATTTTAGAGCATGTTTCGAGTATATACCTGCCCCCTTGCAACTATTTCCTATTTCTATACCTAAGTACAACATACGTGAAACGTCTGCTCGTTACTGTAAGCCAAGCTAGGAAGACATAAAAAGATTACATGGCAAACAAGATAAAGCCTTTTTACTCTGTTTATAGAAGGCTATACAAGTGAAGGAGGATTATATAAATATTTTAGGGGTATATAAGTGGGTTATATAGAAAAGGGGCATATTTATTTTAGGTAAAAAGCTGAGGTAATACTAATTTAGTATTATATTATAAGTATAACCTTCCTTTGGATAGGAAATATATATAATTACATATAGTAATTATACAAGGTTGGGAGGTCATTTATAATCAAAAGGTTCTATAACTTGTCTCTGTCTCTGGAGAGAGCATGAGAGCAAAATGCAAGGAGGTGGCTAACGCCAGTAGAAGGAATACAAAATACTAGGGGATGAGCTAAAAGCGGGATTATCAGGCATCCTTAGTCCATGATTTGACTCCCTGCCTGGCTACATTTAATACCTATAATACATTGTAGAGTCACCGAACCACTTTTGGGATCCCTCTAGTTCGGGAAAGTCCTGAAACAGCTGCACTACAATTGGTCCGAGTGCGACCAAAAAGATATCTACCTTGTACACGTACAAGGTGTTACCCCGAGTATAAAGTAGCCGCTTTGGACAAGTCATGAAGAGGGTTGTCTCATATCTCTGCATCGACACGTGCGGCATTTTTGTGAGTGGTCGGAACAGGGAGGCTATGTAATTGCGTCAAGGATTCTGAAGTCAGAGATGGAGTCGGCATCCTGAACGGGGAAGCAGGGGAAATGAACACCAGAGCGTGAGCATCATGGTCGGCACAGTAAGAGGGGATAGTGAAGTTCCAAGAACAAAAATCAACGTTGGGGACGAACTGCTTCATGGTGCTTATCAATACGATGGTTCCATTAGTTTAACATCTACTTAGTTGATTCAACGCACCGTTTATAACTATAATAGTGTAACTAGTCACTTAGATATTTTGCGAATTCGATTATGATGTTCCTAATACTCTATTGAGTTCAATAAAAGCAAATTATTTAATACTTCCGGCTAATATTTAGAGTATTCTAAGTATTAATAGGTATAAAACGATTGTTTTAATAAAAAGCAAAGGAAATATTGGACAAAACCCTCTCCCACTGTTTTCTCCAAGTAGTAAATATACTTGGTCGAGTACTCGGAATATCAATATCGACTGAACTATCTCTTTCTTTGTCGCTTTGACTAGTTAGAGCTCTTATTTGAATAGGAGTAACTTACTGTGATCTCCAAGAGTAGTTCAAAAGAGCCAGTGAGGAATTCAGCAGAAACAATCTGTTGAATAAGTGATGACTCCAAGCGCCGCCTTGGTGAGTCGAGCGCCACAACCACTATTCCACTGTATGAACAGCAAAACGCACACATTTTTTTTTTTTTTTTTAAAAAAAAAAAACCAATATATTTCCAATCCAAATAACCTATGCAATTGACAAGCAATCCAGCCACATGCACACTCCCTGATTTAATACCAGCCTCAAATGGAGTAACGTGATTGAGTAGCATATGATTACTTCTTGATTTCAGAAGGTTGCTGTAACTGAGAGAGACCCGTCTCTGCTTATGCGGAGGCTAGACGATATTTAATCTCCTGGTTAGTGGCCTTAATAATTCCTTGGATTTGAGGGTTATAAGCTCGTCCTCGGATAATAGGAATAGGGGGTTACGGTTCCCACGGAGATCAGTAAAGTCTCCTTGGAACCCTCCTCCGTTGTCACAATAGATTGTTGACAGACAACCGTTATTAGTATACTAGGATGTCACATTTCGAGCCACTTCAGAAGCGGTCTTCAGCCGAAGGGGTAGACCCAGGCATATCGAGAGGAGTGATCCTTGACTTGTGGAATATACATGTCAAAGCCCAAATAGCAGAGCGCAACACAGCTACAAGCAGAATAATTCAATTGATATTTAAGAGCTAGTGATATCCAATATAACAAGAAAATTGATCATGCCTCCTCCTAATCATCCTTCTAGCTACTACTATACCCGCGCAGAGTACAACGGAACTCCGCTGGAGACACAATGATAGTCCGTTTAGAGTATGTTTCGAGTAGACATATGGCTTTTCGCAACCGTTCCCTTTATCTATACTTACGTGAAACACGCGTGACACATGTGCCCGTCACACTAGACTAGTACCAAGGTTATTATATCTAGGAAGTCTAGCTTACATAAATATTATCAATATTTTAAACTTAGAATACTTAAAGTATAGTAATTCTCTCACTCTTAGGTAGATCGATATATAAGTTAAAAAGTATATTAACTCAAGTAGTCTAAAAGTAGTTAATTACTTTGAGATAATCTCACTAGTATATTATAAAGAGTAAATTTATATTTAAGATAATAACTATAAGTTAAGCACGAAGCTATTAACTAAGAAATAAATAAAATAACAAATAGAGAATAGGCGCGTGATGTGTGAGATGACTAGCTGAGCTCACACGTGACCTGATCGCAGATTCTTTCGATCTCTTTGCCCGTCTGGCAGTGTACTAAATATAGCACACAAGAGATCCTGTGAGGCGCACGTGACATATCTGTTCAGATATGAAACACTACGGTAGCGAGGTTATTCGTTCTGTGATCCTCAACCTACGGTCAAAACATGAAACTAACGATTTAACCACAGCATTTGCGAATGGTAAATTTGAGAGCAAAAGGAAAAGCTAAGCTGCAATTTCATCGGGTCTTGCCGTGGATTGAACACGGGACCTCTCGCAATATCAGATGAAAGTACTCAGGGTACACCCTAAGCGAGAATCATACCACTAGACCACAAGACCGATATCTTTTTGATACCAAGATGGTGGCGATTGCGCTTATTTTATGATATATTTAGTTTTGTGGGTGCCAAGACAAGTGTTAGGATTCGGCAATGGCCGGATTCGCCATAGGCGAGTGTTTTGCCTCCACTTTAGCACATGATTTTATCATCTCCTTCTGTCTGATATTTAGTACTTAGAGTTCATATCACAACGAGCGATAACCAATGCTACTAGGTTTGCCTTTGTAGAATAATTATACCTCAGGTATTGATACGGAGATCCAGAAAAGAAACCTGGCAGTTCAGAGATTAATTACTGCAACCGAACCCCTGATCGAGTTAACCCCAGTATTTGTATCGTGCTTATCTTAGCGCCGAAGCTCCGATAAAGAAACATTCCTAGGTTATTCCAACACCACATCAAACACAATGTCCAGCTCAGATCCATCATATACAGTCTTTATCAGGCTACCCTTTCCTAGAGGAGACTTTATAGACCCTCCCTCTGTATGTAATTCTCTACTAACCCTAAATGTAAGCTGATATATCTAGGTGGAATGGGATGCTGGAAAGGACAAGGCTTTATGGAAGATTCTCTCGAAAGCTTCCAAGAACAGCGATATTGATTGTAAGTACTCAGACATTCTACTACATGACAAAGCTAATGATTTGTAGGGAATGAATTGTTGGTATTCTGCTTCTTTTCTGCGAACAAATACTGACCATCTCAGGGCTGCCAAGTTCGAAGTTTCCCTCCCCTTCCTTCTCCAACAGGCAGCATGGCTCTACGAACGACAACTTCTACAGGTCAGGGCACAGATGAGGAAAGTCGGTGCATCGAAAGGATCTGCCGCGCCTTCACCAGTCCCAGGCAGCACATCTGAGAATGCTGGAGAGATGATGAGAAGGACAGGCTCGGGAGGTGGTGGTAATTCAACCAGCCTCATCTCGAATAGGAAGCTCACAAATTCAGGACCACGGGTATCATCTGCCTTATCTTCACGGAAGGACTCTCCGCTACCAAGAAACGATGCCAGCATTCCAAGTACTCCTGGTCGAGCGATGGGTATGTCTTTATCTTTCACTTTCGCACCCCTGCTGATATTAGCCTCCCTAGCACCGCCCTTCTCACGAACCTCATCAGCGAATACAACTATTACATCTCGAAATCTCCCACAAACCAGTCCTAGACCCGCACATGCTACGTTAAATCGAAGCTCTGTATCCCCCAGACCCCAACGCCCAACTTCCACCATAGAAGCCCCTAGCCGATCTCCCCTCGCAGACGCCCTCTCCTCCCCAGACGCAAGCCCCTCTGAATCGTCATCGGACTCAGAACCCCCAGCACAAAGTCGACTCATCCGCCGACCACCCCGCTTCACAGCAAAGAAACAAGGACAGTCAGATGATGGCGATGAGGATGATGACGAGCCAGCATTCATGCCGTTTGCCTCTACAGAGCCAGCGCATCATGATCCGAGCGCTACATTGCGAGGAGACCCGAGGCATATAGCGAGGAGAATGCCCACACATAGGAAACAGATGGAGCGTCAACAATCGCAGACCTCTGATTCGTCTGCTAGCTCTACGGCTCCTGTTGCAAGGCGCCCGGATCCCCTATATAGAGAGAGCTCACATAGGCAGATGCTGGCTGGACCGCTGTCACCAAGACGTACGGTTGAGTTGGCTGGGCGTAGTCCGATATCGAAAGGGAAGGGAAGAGAGGGTAGTGATGGAACTCCGAGTATGGGGAGCAGTTTCAGTGATCTTGATGGTATGTCTAATTCTTCTCAAAAAACTACAAATTGCTAACAAGTATCAGATGCATCGGTGACTCAAAGTGCACTAGAGGAGGCGATGGCTAGTAATATGCAAGCAGGTGGGGGCATGGCAAGTAGGATGTCATCGCTCAGCCATCATATCCGAAGCAAGTATCTTTGACTAGCTACATGGAGCAAGATCGTGTAATTTTGGTACAAGGCGTTTGGAAATTGGCATAAGAGATGAGGATTGGTGGGGCATTTGATAGATAATTTACTGTATATTACACTTAGCACAGTCTCTGGTAAATAAGATAAAGTAGCTAACATGTCCACCGCACATCCATTTCTCTATTCAAGTGCTCGAGGCTAAAGTAGAATGACTTTTGGAAGATTCTGAAGAATGATGAGGCGAAAGGAATCCTGAAGAAGGGGGGGGGGGAGGGAGATGTGTGGCTAAAAGTGTTCACAGTGGAATGGATTTTCGAGTCGAGTGTTTTTTTGACTGTCTTGTCTGAGTTTACCCAAAGACGATAGCCACCCTTGATACATATATTGTGTTCCTCCGATATAGTCACCTCGTCTTGTAAATGAATCCCACCAAGTTAATTGATGCTGCACATTTGCTATTCCATGAGACCTCCAAGTTGGTTCTTTTTATTTATTGGGGATATTTTTCATCTCTGCATACTTAATTACCCGCAAGCCTTCCCTAGATCCTGATATAAATTCACTCGCTCCCAAACACGCCGATATTTCTGATAAATAGCTTTGTCTGTCGTAGCTTAGCACCAAATCATCCAGATGTAGCAAATATCCGGTTTCCAATTTTCAAACCCCACCTCGCTGAGTATTTCAATTTCGCTCCTTCCTCCCCAGTTAGTTAAATGGTTTTGTATATGAAGAATATAAGACGGACATAATAGGGACGATTCCAATGTTGTAGCTTTCCCTTTGGTGATCGTATTTTCGAGTTTTTTTTTTTTTTTTTTTTTTACCACACTTGCTCCTTAGAATGAGGAGGTCTATACTTGTCATTGGCCGTGGCGGTAGCCATATCCGGCCATGAAGTATCGGTGCTGACTGCTTGTTCTCTGCTAGCCTTATTCTCCTCAGTTGATGGTTCTGCTTCATCGACGTTCGCATCGTTTCCCCAGCCAGATGCTTCTCCCCATCCCACTTCACCGTTACCGGTGCCAGTTCCCCAGCCAGACCCGCCAGTACCTGGAGCTCCCCAATCCCCACCAGTGCCGCCAACTCCCCAGCCATTGGCAGCAGTGGGGTTTCCTTGCCCCCAGCTTGCATCGGCCGACCCCCAATCATCAGCGCCACCCGTTGCTGGAACACTTACGCCAGTATCAGTTCCCCCATCCGGGGTGGCTCTGTCTTTCCCATCGCCAGCGCTGCCAACACTCTTCTTCCCCTCCCACCAACTGCTACTCCCGATATCCTTTCCCTTTCCAGCAGCCTGCCACCGATTCCAATCACTCGAACCCTTCTTGCCCCATTGTCCAGGACTCGGAGCTACACCATTCTCACCCCAAGAGTGTAAGAACTTACACTCATCGGCTGTGTACTGACACTTTCCTCCCTGTGCCCAGTAGTGACAAGTCTTGCCCAATTTCTTGCCATAGTTCCTGTCATTGGTGTCAGTGTTTGTCCAACTGTCCTCATCTCCAGTGGTTCGAGCATCTCCGCTTCCAATTCCAAAATCAGGCGGTGTCTTAGTTGTTGAAGGGTCGAGACAGTCGGTCAGCGCAGCCCAAGTTGGTTTCCCCTCTCGAAGATTTGCTGGGTCACCAGATGAGAAGGGGGTGTGCTCATGGAGGTCACGGCATTCCTCAGCGGTGAAACGACAATCTTTGTTTGGGGTAGCCCAGAACCAGCATGTGACAGTCTTGGGGATGACCGCGCGGAGAGGCTCTTTCAATGGCTCTTTGGAACGGTTGCGAGGGCCGGCTGGAGCTTTTATGGCGTTTACGGGTATGGGTGGAGTGATACCCTGGCGCTTGAGAATCTGGTGGAACTGTTACTTTGTTAATGAGAATCTCTAAAAAGGAGCGAGAAGACTTACCTTTTCATCAACAATCTTGTCAACCTGCTCACGAGTCATGTGGTGTACAAACTCCTGATCACCGTCACTTGCCTTACCCTCATCAGCTAAAACTGCAAATCTGCTCGTCATCAACCCGTTCTTCACGGCAGGACGACTTGGAGTCGGCTTAGCGCGTTGTCGTGGTCCAGTAAGTATAGGAACATCATCCCACTCCGCAGCGTTCATCCCCTCCACCCTATCTAAACCTGTCGAGTAAGTCGTGCTCACACTCCCATTCCTCAGATGTACCGGGCTAGGAGCAGCTTTCTGAGCAGCTAGATTCTGCTGGCAGGCGATCAAGTCCGCGGAACTTCCATTAACTCTCGGATTTTTGAAGATCGACTCTTGAAATTGGCCAGTCTTGTTTGTGCGAATATTCCTCCCAAAATATAAAGTCCCCGAGACATGCTTGAGAATGGAAATCTGATCACCAGCCTGAACCTCCATGCCAAGCAGGTGTGTGGCATGGTGGTTATTCTGTGCGACAGCAATGATACCCGGGACGAGTTTCACATCCTCTAAGGCACCTCCAAGACGTTCGATCACACTTGCAATACCTTTCGACCGAGTGACTGATGTGGCAGTCTTGGTTGACATCCTCGAATCGGGTCGTTTGGGCGGTCTGATATGGGGAGGTTTGAACTGTGGATTATTGGGCTGTAGAACATCGTTCAATGCCTTAGGAAGTCGACCATGCTGGCGGGCGAATCCTTCAACAAGAGCAGCGCGGGTATCGGCAGAGACGGGAGTATTCTCGGTGCTGTTTTGAGGGGGTACTTGTTCGATTTCGATGACTTGGGTGTTTACCTCTGAAGCCCAGGTATGGATACGATCAGCTTTCTCGGCGTGGGCGATCGAGGGTGGGGATTGTGGTTCGTGCGCCTCAACTTCCTGCGGCAAATAATCTATGGGCTGGCTGCTGTTGTCCTCGTAGGCTTCTTTCTTGTACTTCGGCCTGGATTTCTGACCAGCTTTCGTCAAGCTTGCATTAAACGCCTTGATCTCGTCGAGTTGAGCTTGCGTATATCCAAGCGATAGTCCTCCATTTCCAGGAATCTTGACTGGTTCACGTTTTGGTTCGTCGAGCGGGGGTGTTGTAGCGCTGCTCAGTATGTCAGAGAGGGTGTCAGAGAGCGGCTCGTCTTTCGCAGGACGATTTTTTTG